CCCCAAAACCCCAAAACCCCAAAACCCCTGCATATAAGATTTGTGTAGAAATCTTGAGTATCAATAATAAATATCAAATAAGATTCCCAATAATTTATGGTAGAATAATCACTCACATTCAAGGATTATCCCTTTTTGAAAGAACTCGGCCTTGCTGAGACAAACTTTGGTTGCTATAGAAAAGGTGAATGGGTTGGCCACGGAGATGAGATAGTCTCTGTAAATCCTCATAACAACAGGCCAATCGCTAAGATTAAGCTTGCTAATGGCTAGGACTACTAGGACTGCATTAAGGCAATGGAAGGAGAGAAGCTCAGATGGGCAAAGACTCCTGGTCCAGTCAGAGGAGAAATAGTCAGATAAATTGGAGATGCCTTCAGAAGAAAGAAGGAAGCATTAGGTTTACTTATTTCTCTAGAAATGGGAAAGATTAAGAGTGAAGGTCTTGGAGAGGTATAAGAGTATATTGATATTTGTGATATGGCTACTGGATTATCAAGAACCATTGAGGGTAAAGTACTGCCTAGTGAGAGACCAGGTCATTTCATGATGGAGCAATGGAACCCATTGGGATTAATTGGTTGCATTACAGCATTCAATTTCCCAGTTGCAGTTAGCGGCTGGAACGCAGCTATCGCATTCATTTGTGGTGATCTCATGATCTGGAAGCCAGCACTGACTACATGTCTCTGCTCAATAGCAACCTAAAATATTATCAATGAGGTACTATAATAGCATGGCTTCAACTCCATCCAAACTCTATGTGCTGGAGATGGACCAAACGTTGGTGCTCTCCTTGTAAATGATCCAAGGCTCCACTTGATCTCATTCACTGGCTCCACTCAGGTTGGTAGACATGTCTCAGCAGAAGTTGCTAAGAGATTCGGGCGAACCATTCTTGAACTAGGAGGAAACAATGCTGCTGTAATTATGCCAGATGCTGATCTAGAACTTGCTTTGAAGGCTTGTGTCTTTGCTAGTGTAGGTACTGCAGGACAAAGGTGCACCACTCTCAGAAGAATCATTATTCATGAGAGCATTCATGACTAGTTCGTGAATGCAATGGTCTCAGCATACAAAACTATTAGATAAGGAGATCCACTCAACCCAGAGACTCTCTTAGGACCACTTCACACCAAAGATGCAGTTAAGTAATATAAGGATGGTATAGAAGAAATCAAGAAGCAAGGAGGTAAAATCCTATTCGGAGGAGCAGTTTTAGAGGGACCAGGTAACTATGTTCAACCAACTGTGGTTAGTATTGGCCATGATGCTCCAATAGTAAAGCATGAGTTATTCGCACCTGTTGTCTATGTTATCAAGTTCAAGACTCTAGACGAGGCAATCCAATATAATAATGAGGTTCCACAGGGACTATCAAGCACTATCTTTACTAAGGACATGCAAAACTACTTTAACTGGGTCGGTCCTGCAGGTTCTGATTGTGGTATTGTTAATTGCAACATTGGTACCTCAGGTGCAGAAATCGGAGGTGCATTCGGAGGAGAAAAAGAGACCGGTGGTGGTAGAGAGTCTGGCTCTGATTCATGGAAATAATATATGAGAAGATCAACTTGCACAGTTAACTACACAAACTATCTAGCTCTCGCTCAAGGTGTTCAATTCAAGTTATGATCAACTAGTTTCATAAGATAAAATCCAAACAATATAGCTAAGTTAATTTAATTCTCGTTAATATCAAACTATCTACTAAATCTTGACTGTAGGGGTTTTGGGGTTTTGGGGTTTTGGGG